GCGAAAATCTTACTAAAACCACACGTTTGAGGCCTTGAAGTGAGGAGAAGCATGGCGTCAATTGTGGCACCGTCGGGTGGTAGTAGTAGTAGTAGTAGTAGTTGTTGTTGTTGTTGTTGTAGTTGTTGTGGTGGTGGTGGTAGTAGTAGTAGTACTAGTAACAGCATGCAAGTAAACCCAGTTCAATGATAAGAAGTACCAGCCGTAGTCGCGGTACTGGTAGAGCAAATAATAATTATATTCGCCGCTGTCGCCGTCGCCGACGTAAAGCAGTCGTAGTAGTAGTTGTACCAGTAGTAGTAGCGGTGGTGGTGGTGGTGATGGTGGTGGTGGTGGTAAGTTGTTGTTGTTGTTGTACTACTACTACTACTACTACGGATACTACCACTGATACTACTACGACTACTACGACTACGACTACTACTACTACTACTATTACTACTACTACTACTACTACTGTTACTACTACTACTACTACGACGACGACTACTACTAATATCAACACTGTTTTTACGACGACGAGTACGTCTACCACCTAGAAGCACAGTTGTACTAGCAGTGCTGCGACGAGTACTCCTACGCCTACCCTTGCCCCGAGGTGGTAGTGGTATTGGTAGTAGTAGCAGTAGCAGCAGCAGTAGTACTAGTAGTAGTAGTAGTAGTAGTAGTCGTAGTCGTTGTCGTTGTCGTAGTCGTAGTCGTAGTCGTAGTCGTAGTCGTAGTCGTAGTCGTAGTCGTAGTCGTAGTAGTAGTAGTAGTAGGAGTAGTAGTAGTAGTAGTAGTAGTACAAGTAGTACGGGTATTCCTAGTTGTACTAGTGATTCTTTCGTATCCATCCTGCGGCGTGTCCGTGCACAGTTACTCCCTTGCAAACCGGAACTGAAACATGCCAGCTTGCTCCCCGGCCTCGGCTTCACGAGTCTCGAATTGCGGACGTTACGAGAGGTGGAAGCGAAATGCCGATCAAGAATTAATATTGCTTGTGCAAGACACGCGGAGGAGACGGCATCTGCCTGCAAATCCTTTCGCTGATCTGCAGACGCTCCGCTTTAAAAGGCTCTCGCGCGCAGGTTTTCCATATTCTCTCTATCTATCTATATATCTATATATATATATACTGCAGCTTAATGTGTTGTTGTGATTCCACAGGTTTGTCTCTCGAGCTGGCGATCCCCAAATCGAGCGTCTACACGCAGAATGATTGGTTTGGTTGCGTGGTTGCTTGTGAGCTCGAGCGTTTACATGGGGGTCAGTAGCAATTATTCTCCATCCGAGCGTCTACAAGAAGAACGGACCTTGCTCATGCGGCGTCCACATGGGAAAACCATGTTCGCTTGACGTAACCGCAACGTGCACGCGGTGTGACCAAATTTCCGCTACGACAACGATTGCGACGACGACGACGCACCACCACCACCACCACCACGACGGCTACTACTTCTACCTTTACTTCAGCTATTTTCACTTATTCTATTTCTACTAGTTCTACTATTACTTTTTCTCCTACCTTCTTAAAGTTTCTTGGGCGAGATGGTGGTAGGCGGCGGCTCTAGCTGTAACGGTGCCAGCTCCCGGCCCCCGAGCTAGACCGTGTGCTCGACTTCGCCAAAGCAGCGGAGCCGAGCCGACTGCCACTGCGCTAGCCACGGCCGTACGCGCCGCGCTGCAGGTTTGACTAGGCTAGGGTAGCTCGACCCCGCTGGACTCGTCATGCAGACAGCAAAGTCCGGGACAGAAAATTTTTACGGCTACGACGACGACTACTACTACTTCGATTACCACTTCCATAGCTATTCTAGTTTACTGCTACTATTACTATTACGACCACGAGTACGATGACGACTACGACCACTACCACAATGACGACGACGACTACTACTACTGCTACCACTACCAGTACTACTACAACTACGACCACCGCCACCACCACCACCACTACTACTATTCTTACGACGACCATGACTAATACTATCAGCATCATGTCTACCGCAACTCCATCACTGGTATTGCAGCCGCCGTTTCTGCTCTTGTCTTTCGGGTCTTTTGGTTGTTGCGACGTTTAGCACGACAACGTATAATACATATTACTTGTTCAACTACTACTGTTGTTACGTCGCGTTGGTCGTGGCGGCATGGTTGGGGTAATCGCAACACGACTTTCAGAAGCACGGCGCCTGAGCGGGTTTGGCATGGTTTGGCCAAGGTCGTTCCATGCGATACAAGGCTACGAACCACACTTGTGGCATTCTTGGGAAAATGCTTGAACCCTTAGCCGAGGGTTCTAAAAACACAGACCGTGTAATAATGCATTTATAAGATTTTTGCCTTTCGACGCTGGCAGCCACTGGCAGCACCCGTGGGGACCGCCGACTGCCGATTCGTCCACACAGGTGGCGACACCACAACCACATCCCCCCAGATTTGCTTTGTATTGAAAGGTCCCCCTACGGGGGACCCTGTAAGACATTGTTGGTTTGGCTCCCCAGGAGAGACAGGAGTGAACATGTATTAAAGAGTTTCCCTCAAGACGCGGGCCTCAGAAAGGAAACCGATCGTAGACCATGGGGAATTCCTTAGAAGGCAGTGTTGTTCATGATCGATGGAGTTGCCTTGCATAAAAGGAAACCCCAGAGGCATCATGTCACCTCGGTGCCGCCTGCCATTAAGCCCTGGAAAAGCTACCGTGTCACCACGGTGCCAGGAACTTGATGTCAGGAGCCAGGGACCAGAGTTGAGGACCTTATCTTATATCATTCAAAGGAGCGAAACACTCGTCCGGGTGCCACAAGTCACTCCGGTACCTCACGCAAACGAAAGGTGTGTGATGAACCGGAGTGACTTGTCGCACCCGAACGAATGTTTCGCTCGTTTAAGTGATGTAAGATGATGTCTTCAACCCCGATCCCTGATTGCTGGGGTCACCGGGGGGGGGGCCGCGAGAAAAGCAGAGAACCGCCTGACTTGAGCAGATTTGAGCAGTCTATGTCTGTCTATGTCTCTTTATGCCTCTCTATGCATTTCTCTTGAAGCCACGCATGCCTGACGAATTCCGATTGCGATTCGGCCACTCTGTTTTGATTATGCTTTGCTGGAAGTACAACTCTTGACTCCCCCCCCCACTGCTCCAATACATTTGAAATGCAAGGGTTAATGTATTGCATAGCCCCCTCCACCCCCCTACCCGATACCTGGCGGGATACAACCACCATGTCACTTGGAGAGGAGGTTTCGCAGGTTCAGCCGTCATAACAAATTCCGTTTGGTTTGCACGGCGCTGTGCAACATCGCAAGCTCGGGCAGCGCGTGGCCGTTGGCATATAGGATCCCGGTTCGGCCGTCCTCCCCCCCGTACCCCCCCCTCTCCCCCACTGTGGCGCGGTGTGGTTCGGGATTTTTTGTTTTTTTGCTTGGAGTCCCGACCCCTGTCATCATCATCATCGTCATCATCATCATCATCACCATGTTCCTTTCTTAGGTCAACTGCCACAGGAAGCAGGCCTGACAGGAATGCATCTTGAATACCCCGATGGCACAGTCCTTGGTGGAAGGTGTCCAGTGTCCCAAAAGGCGGGTCTGTTTGGGACGAGATCCTCGTGACAGTTGGTGGTTTTTTGTAGCCGCCATGTGGGAAAAGTGCGCGCGGTCATAGGGATTCGGCATATTTGGACGTGGGCGTGCCGGGGGGCATACTATGTGGGGAGGTCGGCGAACCGGGATCATACATGGCATCACGTCGCCCACACCATAGCTATCCGAGTTTTGTGAGTGTACAACCTGTCCTTCTTGCATATTTCAACAGCACATCTCCCGCCAGCCGAAAGCCAGCATTGAGAAGCACGAAATCAATAATTGATTGATCCTCCGCTCCTCAGCGACCTTCTCGCCGAACCATCGGCCTCCCCTCCTTTTGCCAGCCGCATGCTCTGACATGCCCACGTAGTCTGGCCTTGGTCTTGGGCGACCTGCACTGGGACCGCGGAGACAGCAAAAAGGTGTGTGGGGGCAAAAAAACAAAACAAAACAAAAAATAAAATAAAAAAATAAAAAAACATATCGCATTGTCTAACACTACGCCGCATGGAAAGCCTTGTCCACCAACAATTTTGACTTGAGTTTGCTCATCATCACGACGTGCCAACAGCTTGATGTGTTATTCCTTGGCCACAACGGAAACACTACACAGGCATGCATCCGGTCCGCTAAAAAAGCACTCCGCATGTGTTTCAAGGCAGGTATACTTGATTTAACCCGACAAGTTACTGGCCCGTTGGATGTTGTGTTGTGTGCAAATTCATGCCTGCAGCTGCAGGCGGCCGGTGTTTTTGCACACGCATCCTTGCGCCGGCAGCACCAAGGTGTAGCAGGCCCGGAGCAAAGTTGACCACGGACCGCTATCAACACAACCGAACGCCCGCACCTTTCTTGCAGGTGCTGGGTTGGTGATCACCAGCCCTGTCAGCGCCGGTTCAGTGTTGCTGCGGGTCCTCGTCTCAGGTTTCACCTTCTTTCCAGCAGTGGGCTACTGCTTACATTACATGTCATGTCGTGGTTTTGTCAGGTACCCCGGTCTGCCGTATTGTCTGGCACCATGGCGACGCTTGATTCGAACGTTTGGAGAATGTATCTGCCAAGTGGTCGCAGCTGGCCACTTTGAGGCAAAGTGTGCTCGGTTGCCATGATTTGGCACCAGACGTGGCTCTTTTGGCACTGCTTGCAGAGGCGGCATGCCGTGAGGGCTGTTTGAACGAGAGTGGAATTTTGCGCCTCGCTGTTTTTCCAAGATATGCTGCTTTTGCGAGGCTAGGCGGGCTGCCGAAAAAGGTCAGTTGCTCAGTGCATATGTGAGTATCGGATCTTGTAACTGAACGATGCACGACCCAACCGCACCCGAAAGCTTTGATTCCACAGTCCACCGAGGCGAAGACCTGTTGGGACTGAAAGAATATCTTCTTTCTATCCCGGCCGATTTCCCAATGGTTCCGCTCACTTTCTCGGAGGCACGATTTTCTTTGATATTTTTGTTGCAGACTGTCTGTAGTACAATTTGGCCAGGAGGACGTGGACTTACATTTACGGGGTTCATCCCTGCTTCTGGCATTGGCTGCGCAGAATGGACAGCTGGAGGAGGAGCAGAAGGCATGGCATGAGCAAATTACGATTGAAGTGCAAGTCTACCGTGCGTTTGCTTCTTGGCAGCTGCGTTGCATTTGCGAGTTACGCGTGTGCATCATGACGACATGTGCTTGAACACTGCAACCGTCGGCAGCTCACACCGTCCGTCGAAACTTTGCATGTGCCAGGTGGCTCTGGAACATTTGCCGCAGTTGACCGCGCCGTGGAGCATCGACCGTTTGCGTTGGGCGAAGGCGGCAGTGCTCACCAGGCCTTGCACATCGAATTCCGAGACAATTGCTGCACACTGTTCATATTAGCATGCGTGGAATGTGGTGCTGGTTCAGCTGAGGCTAGCAAACAAATCGCATGAAGATACGGTGGTACAAGATAGTAACGACCATTCAAGCAGGATGAGTCGATGTTGATGCATTTTGGCCCTGATCTCGGGCAGGGCTGGCCCGTGCTTTTCTGCCTCGACCGGTGAGGAGCCATCCATGGGGCACGTGAGCATCTAGGAAACACTCAGTAGTTGTGAGTTGTTGCCGACCTACCTTGTTGCGAGGAAGCCGAAGCGATGCAAGGCATTGTTCCGTGTCTTGCCTTCCATGAATCTGCTGGCGGGGTAATGCTCGCACGAGATCACGGCCTTGTTTTGTCAATCAAGTTCTTATGGACGATACGTTTTTTTCGGACATGTTGCTGGGCAGAGTTGCGACATGTCGCAACTTAAGGCTGGTGGATATCGCGAATTGTTCTGCAGCCAGGTTCTTATCAGGGTCCCATGTATTGTCTGTATTGTACATGACACCGAGAGTTTCATGTGTTGCATCGGGCGTCTTCGGCTGTTATTTGCAAAAGGTATATTGGTTCATGTTACGTGCTTGGCACAAGGATCCCACGGCCCGATGTCGGGTCGGCACGGATGATTCCATCGAGCTGGTGGCTGCACGCGACTTGCAGGTGCTTGGGATGTCTGGTCAAAGTTTATTGACAGATTCCGCCAATTTGGTTGCTAATGTATAAGTAGACATGTGTCTGTGTTTAATTAAAATTATATTTGTAAATATGTATATGTATATATATATATAGATAGATTTGTATTTATTTATTTGTCTATTTATCTATACTTGTCATGTACATATTCATATTCATATTCATATACATATACATATACATATATTTGTATGAGTATAGTGAGTATAAGTGGAAGTAGAAGTAGAAGTGTAGAAGTAGAAGTATAAATATGTATATATGTATATATGTATATGTATATGTATATGTATATGTATATGTATATGTATATGTATATGTATACATGATACATACATGAACTTGATCAATTCCCTTAGCCGACACGTCGAGGCCGGCGAAGCAGTGACGATCAGCTATGGCCAGCAAAGCCAGGACTCCAGAACAGTATCCAAGTTTGAATCGTACGATCATCATGCCCACGAGCCGGGCAGAATTGAGTTTTCATTGGTGTGTTGATGTGCTGGGAGATGTGCAAGAACCTGCCGCGATGCCAGGAGCAGCAGATCTTCAACTTCGGTTTCGCGTTGGATTCTTCCTCCTTGGACCTGCTCACACCTCTTGCCGGCCCCCCAGAAAGGCAGGGGTTGTACCAGCATATGGGCAGCAGGCATCGATGTTGTCAGAGCCCCCGACATCTCGTTGTTGAAATCAGCCAAACCACGCGCAATGCTTGGGAACATGTGAAGGTAACGTTGGCGCATATCTCCGCAGGTTGGCTTTCGAAGTTAGTCTGCCCAGCCTTGTTGCCTCGGCCCCTGCACCGATACAGCCCCACAAACGGCAGCGAGCGGCTAATTAGGCTTCGTCGAAGTGCGCACCAAGGCTACGTGCAAGTGTGGTTGAGTGGTGACAGCGGTGGGTGTGTGATTTTTTGCTGTTCCTGAATGCACTTTCCTGCAAACACGAAAAGGAAAAACAACTAGTTCAACAAGTTGGCATGATCGTGGAATGCCAAGAGTGACAGGCAACGCCAAGCACCCGTGGAATCCGGGCAGAGATGCATGGCGCAGTTGTTATTTAGATATGTTGTGGTCAAGAAGGAGCTCGGCGGAGAAGTGGACGGGATACGGTTGATGATATCAACCCTGCATCACTCACAATAAGGAATAGACCATAATTCCCATAGTTTAGGGTCCTGAAGGTAAAGCAGGATTTCTATCATCCACAGTAGTTCAACTGCGGGTCACCAGTTGCCCAGGCCATGGTCGTCCCACCGGAGGTTACGACTGCGGTCGAGCTTCGCAGTGTGCTGCTGAAGCCGGGGCCCGTGCTTTGTAGAGGGTTTCGACATGTCTTATGAAGGAGGTGATATCATATCTGCTGGGAGCACATGCATGTTAGGGTCGTTGTGGCCAGAGTACGAGATCAACTGAATTGGCAGGTTCCTCTTTCTGGAGCGCGGTGAGCAAGCAGCGGCTTGTGTTGCACACACCTCTGACTCGGAATGGGGGGGGGCCTAGAAGATTTTGGAATTGATTGCTTGCTTAGCAGGACAAATCGCAGCAAGAAGCCGAGGTGGGCTTGACGGGAATCTTGCATTAGCTTCAGGTAGAGTTGCACGCATCACGTGTGCGTGGCTTCCACATGTACTCGGAACATAAGTTCGCCGGTGAGTGCAGTTGCTATGTACAGGATGTGATTCGACATCAAACAGGCATCGTGTAAGGGCTTGTTTGAGACTGCTTAAGTGTAGATTCGTCGACCAACTGGGCAGATTTGCATGCAGGGCCGCTATGTTGTATCCTACGCACCTGTACGCAACCCTTACAGAAACCTAGAGCCTGCAAGACCCCGTACTTGACCAAAGTTTGATGCCGTTTGTTGAAACCTTATCAAGGCAATCCTGCAATCATTTATCACTGTAAGGCTGAAAAGATAAAAGGCTAGGTAGGCTTTTGGGACCTTCTATATCTTTTTCGGGCCCAAGAGGATCTTATTCACGATTTGTTACCTGTTCACAGGCTTTTAGATTTTCAAAAAAAAAAAAGAGAAGCCCTAAACCCTAAACCCTAAACCCTATAAGCCCTAAGCCCTAAAACCCTAAGCCCTAAACCCTAAACCCTAAACCCAAAACTTTTTGAACAAAGAGAAGAAGCCAAGGATGGGCTGGGAGGAGACCTGCCGCCAGTGGCGCTGCTGCGCGCCAGGTGTCCCACACCAATAAATTAACCTAAACAAAAGAAATGGACTTTCCGAAAATGAGGGTACCTTATTCGGGGGTCCTTATAATAAGGATCCTACTATTTAGGGTACTATATTCGGGTCCCCTATTTTCGGAAACCCCCAAATATCCAAACCTGGAATTCAGAAACAGAGATCCAAACAAAAAAATGCGAGTCTGCAAGATTCAAGCATAACTTGTTGCCCTGGACTAACGCAAAGTCCTGTTGGGTGTGGTTCGAGATCAAGGTTCCCTTGACGATTAATTCAATGACCTCTCAACAAATCATTCGGGTTTCAGAGCAATGCATACTTAGGGCAGAACCCGAATCTCACATGAAGAGCTTAGTGCTGGTTGCTACGAGCCTGCATTCAGCCTGAAGCCTTTGGTTTTCGTATGCTGCATTACAGACATGTCTGGGCTTCAGCCGAACCCTCACCCTGCCTGCTTGCCTGCCTACCTACTTCTCTCCGTACCTACCTCCCTCGTGCGTACTCGTATCTCGTACATATAGCATGCATGCATGCATGCATGCATGCATGCATGCATGCATGCATTGCATGCCTGCATGAATTTATGATCCTTTATGTGTGTGCACATACATCTGTTAGAAAGGCATGTGTGTATGAAGCATACACACCTATGCTACTGTCATATCATATGTATTCATACCATTTTCACATGTACCGCAACTTTCCGAAAACCATTTTGCTAACACATGCAACTTTCAGTTGTCAACATCCGTGAATCCCGACGATACCTCGGCAGGGTTCAGGGTTTAAGGTTCGGTTCAGGGTATAAATTCGAGGGCTTCAAGTTTTGGGTGCAGGATTTACGGAAAAGATCTGGTTTTAGGCACAAAAGCATTTATTCGAAATGGGTTTGTTCGAAGACTTGGCTGAGCTTGTTCTGTTTGTTTGTTTGTTTGTCTTGTTGTGTGCTGTGTCTTTGATAGGTTGAGAAGCCTCGCGTTCTGTCAGCCTGACCTCCTTGCACTCTGATGTTGAAGATGGACGCTGTTTTGGAGAATGTGTCTGTGTGGGAGCTTCAGACCCTGAGGGGGCCCACGATGGAGCCTAAAAGAGAAGGGTCTGCAGTACCGTAAAGAACCATCAATAAGGACCCTTTGATTTCGGAAGTTCCGACGGGGAGAAGAGGTGCCGTGAGTGCAGAAACGCCGGTTGGAAGGCGGTTTGGTTGGTTGAAATTGCGGCGAGCATCTCGTGCTAGGTCTCTTGAAGAGATTGACGTGTCCGAGATGCGCGCTGTCTCGAACTTGCTGGACTGTCGATGGGTGCATTTTCTCGCTGCCATCCCATCGAGCTGCATCTCTCAAACTTCGGGGTCTCGAATCCGCTGGGTGTTCTTTTATAACACGACCGCTCATCACAGGGTTTTTTCGAGGGCCCCCTTGTTTTCGCAGAGCCTCGGAGAGCTGCTAGGCGAAATTACGGCTCAGTTGTCGCAGGAGATGCCCGAAGCGGAACTACGCCGGGATCCTGGCCTTTCTGAGTTCAGGGTTTGGGGGTTTTGGGTTTAGGGGTGCAGGTTTAGGGTTTAGGGTTTACGGGTTTAAGGTTTAGGGTTTGGGGGTTTAGGGTTTAGGGCTTAGGGATGTCTAGGAGGTGGTGTGAGGGATTTAGGTTGAGTCTGGCAGCACTGCTTCCTGGATGAGACAGTCTGGCAGTGCTGCTTTCCAGCTGATTGGCAGAGTCTGCAGGTTCAAAAGAGGGAATGTTTAGGGACCTTTGAGGCTTGTAAGGCATGCCTATGCATGCCCGCTTGACAAGCTTTGCCAGGTTGCCCTTAGAAGCCCATTCGCTCACGAGCCGGTTGATGCCCTTACGTCACCGTGCAGGGTTTAGGGTTTAAGGATGTTTGAGGTGTAGAGGTTCCGGGGGGGTTTAGGGGTGACTCATGATTGGGCGTGTTTAGGGTGGGGTTGCGTGCGATTTCATGCTTGCGTCTCCCAGAACTTCTGCCATGCAAAGGTTCCGCAATTCATCAAGCCAACCTATAGTCTACGGTTTAGGGCTTATTTAACTGAGGAGCATACCTCAGATTATGGAGGCATCTATAGACGCTGTACGGTCATGTGAGTCCTGACGCTGCAGCCCTGTCCTCGTCGCGTATTCTTGCCTATGGACAGGCTCGGTGGCCGACCATGTCAAGAGCCAGCAGGCGCTGGGGCCTCGATCCGAAGCACTCAATCCTACAATTGTAGGGTTTAGGGGTTTAGGAAGTTTTGGGTTTAGGAAGTTTTGGGTTTA